TTTTGATTTTGAACTTTTGTTGAAGACGACGGCCGTCGACTAACTCGAAAAACGGGAAGTCGCCGAGATGTAGGCTAAAGGCCGAACCAAATCCAGAAAGAGAAGGAAATGGATCTAGTTTTCTAAATCAAGCGTACGTAATGGCCAAAGCTCATGTTAGACAATTACGGTTACATAAACCAACAGCCTAGCGGAAAATAGATTGTCTCTTGTCTCTGCAAAGATAATCAATTGTGCGCATTACTTATTTCGAACTGGAGTTTATTTTCGTTTCTGCCATTTTAGTTGACGTTTCAATGATGCGAGATGAGGAAATGGCGTCTTGTTCCATATAAAAGTTAATAGAACTTTAACAACAATAGAAAGTTGTTTATTACTTAAATTTTAATTGCACAAAGCAGGTTCCGTCCTAAGAATGGCGGAAAAGTGAGAACATTATATAGGTAACTAACTAATATCTCATTTCATCCGTAAATATATCACGATATCTTTTTAAGTGATGTTTACAATTTCATCATTCATTGATTTGAATTTGATACGAAAAGGTCATCTATCTGATCTTGCCCTTGGCTAGCTCACAAGAAAACAGTCCTTTTTACGATCAATAACAAAGATGTTCAGTGCACATCGAACGTCTGTTATTTTAGTCAACATGGATCATATTTTGGGGCGATGAAAAATCATTTTTATGGTCTACTTGTCATTTAATATTTATTTTTCTTCTGTATAAACGAACAGAAAAGAGCCTCCGGAGCGGCAGTATGCCGAATCGCATATCTATATAAATATATCATGCTTTGAAACATGTGATCTGCTTTTGGCGTTTGATACAGACCCAGAAAATTGCAATCATTGTTTACTGGTACAACATAGATACTGGTCAGTGTTGCATTTACCTTGTTAACCATATGAAGTGTAACTTTCGAAAAGGGTAAGGCTACAAGTTCTACGCACCCAACAGACAGCAGCTTAGCTGATGCGACTGAAACCGACATCACTACGATTAGTATTCGATTTTCCTTTGTCAAATCGTTCAACTGTGAGGTACCAAGCTCAACTGTATTTTGCACATATCACTATACGCCAAACAAATTTAGAATATATCCGATAATTTTTGCATTTTAATCAATGCATCGAGAGTACGCAGACTTGGCCTAGATATTATATATTTATTTAGATATAGTTATAATAAATATGCTTATAGGTATAACAATAGCGCTTGAATGAGTTCTTGCTTCCGTATCACAAGTGATTTCTGCACCGGTCTATTTGAACTATCCGTTGCGTAGGCATCCGCTACACGATCACTATAAAAGCGGCCTCAGAACTCTTAGAAAGGGGAACTTTGTGTTTACGTAAATGTGTTCTGCCTTCTTGCGGTCTCTAAACTCGCGGCGACATTTCAAGAATGAACTTCGTGCGACTTTGATCATCGCCGTTTTCTTGGTACTGTTTAGCATTCCACTGACAGGAACAACGATCTATTCGCCGACCATGGCCCAGATTTTCAAGTAATTCTTGTTCACAGATTGATAACCACTGCAAATTGATCGAGACGGAAATGACGGATTCCAGAAGGATGCTGGCCAGTTAGCTGGTCATTTAGCCAGGTGTCATTTCGTCATTTGCTCAGATTATCCAACTGAATTCCTGACCCTAACAGGTGTGCTAAATTTTGCAGTAAAGCATGAATATCTTACGCTGTTACTAATCGTCGAGTTCAAAGCATCAGGCCTGAGCTGTACCAGCTGATCCGACAGAAGAACAAAAACATGTTTTCAACAGCTCGCTGAGAAGTATTGTGAAAGCTTTCAATGCTATAGCCATGCACAGCTCGAAAAAATAATACGGTGTAGCTTAGAAGGCCGATATTGTGCATACTACCATGGTACTTAGCGAAATCATCATCGTCAAGCCATCTAACCTTAGCATCATTATCAGTTTCATACTGAACCGGACGTAAATAAAGAATAATTTATTCCCTTTGAGTAATTATATTGTATCCCTTAGGTACTCCAAAAGAACAGATGACGGAGCTTGATTGTCATAGTAATTGCGTAGATAGCGTTTTTCCATAGAAAGCATATATAACTGTGGTCACTGATCGCACGAAAAATCTAAAAATGGATTTTTTTCAAGTCGCTTATTATTATTATTATACGAGAAGCTGAATATTAACATATGTGCAATGTTTCAGTAACTGTACTCGTTACATTAGTAATAATCATGTATTATTACTGTGCAAATAGGGTTATTTGGGTCTATGCATGACAAAATTTAGGAGCTCGCTTCCATGAGAGCACATTATCTAGCCTCTTAGTTTAAGCTATTTCTAATGCCTCTGTGGTCTACTCAGTTGGGTGTTCTCTTGAACGTTAACAAAGTGTGACATACTACCACATCGATGTAACTTATTAAAGGTCGTCTGCTATTCGGCTATAGGTCACGGAGACAGACAGGCTTTATCTATGATGTACTTAAAGGCGGCCTTACGAAAAAGGTGACTCTGCACGCTGCATTTTTCGTCATACCGTGACAAGAAACTATCCTACATTATCATGTGCAGATACGCTTGCCTTCTGTGCCGCATCATTATAATGGACTTACAAAGTGTGTAATGGCAGAAACATGCTTTAAATATACCACTTGCAATAAAGAACCTAATAACATTCAACTTGAAAATCGTTCTCCTTTTTACGTGCGATAAGGTTACACCTCGTGTCGGCCATGACACCATCTGAGGACCTGCGTTGATTCACAACTAGTCCTTACCACAAATGGAAAAATATCTTGATTCAATATTCTCGAAAATTCCTGCGGCGTTTGAGTAATCAAAATGTCTGCGATGGCATACTACACATTTATAACTCATCTTCACTGAATTAAGCTTTTGCATATCACATTATTTAGTAACGGCCATTTTTATTCACCGTAAGATGTACCTGGCTAAAGTGTATAGCAAAAGACGATCGCATGCCTTCTATAGGCAGATGTGAACCTTCGCAGATTCACTAGGTTCTCGATATCATAAATCCGAGAGATAGCTTAATGCGCTACGGAAAACGACCCCGATCCGAGGCAGCCACCGACCAGAACGTCACATAGTTAAAGCATATGTTGTGTTCAAAGGCGAGATGTTCCTGTCGCAGAACGGCGGCATGTCGGCTGTGGCAACTTTCTTGTATGTTTCCGCTCAATGTAAATCACGCAAACAGTATTTTCTGTTCCTTGTATTTTCAAATTTCCTATAGATTACGACGCATGTTATCCAAAAACTATTTCGACTTTTCACGACTGCCTCATAACCTGTAGGAACCCATTTCCGACCAGCATCGGATTGCCGACAACGACGTTTCTCTTCGTGAACTTCGCTTTTTTCATATGGCCGTTCAGGACTCGAAAGGTCTAAAATAACACGAGAACAAAACTGAGGGTATCGAATGTTTTTTTCTCGTTGAATTAATAAAAATATTTTTAATTAATTATATTTATACCAAGACACTAATTACGCTATATGCCTACAAAGGAAATTGTTAAATATTTGCGTCTAATCTGAAATGTGCATATAGCTGTGTTTGTATTGATGGCCTTATTGCAATACTAAGATTTATGAAATAAAATGAAACAGCATACCTGGCACGCGAAAAGCTTACACCGGCAGTCTTTTGGTCGGTAAACATTTGAATTTAGGATACAGGGCGGACACAGGGAACCGTAGCAATATTGATGTATTATGACAGTATACATGATATAGTGCACTCAATTATTTTTACCGCCAATAATGCAAACACTAAAAAAAATATAGAGCTTCACATATGGCGTTCAAAAGAACTTAGTTGCCTTGCAGCGCTGCAACTGTTGCCGATTAAGTTTTTCCTAGTTGTTTCGACCCAAACCCCAAAACATTTCATTGAATATCGGCTTAAAGACTTCACGCACTCCAAGCGGCAAAGTTGAACCAGAAAGCACCGTAACCAGTTATTGTTCCTAAATCTCGTAGATTCCGTTCAAATATGTTTGCGAGCTCATCATAGAAGCATTATCAACACGACGTATACCTTTTTTTTTTATTTTTTTGGAGGTTAAGGGCAAATGCATTATGCAGACCGGGCATAGGCAGGGCAAGTCTGCTCTAAGTCCGGTACTGTGGGACTCTCACCCACTAAACCCTGGACCCCTTTATCCGCTTGGGCCATGGCTCGGTATATTTTTGATATTACTTCGAAGCCATGGCTTGCAGGAACGGTCATTTCATCTTCCTTCTCTACGACGTATACCTGTGGAAATTGCAACGAGCCCAAAGAAGCCACCACTACGTCAGTAGAGTTTTTTCTTAAAGTTTAACTTTGAACTTAAAATTTTTTTTTAAAGTAAAATATCCGTACAGATTGTACAACTAGACCTATTTGTAAACTCATTGGACTCGCGTACGAATGATAGTGTCATTTTACTGGGTACGTAGAAGAGAATGTATGTAGAATAGAAAAGTTGGTAAAGGTTTGTCAGTGTGGCAGCTATCTATTAGACACTGAGGGAAGCCATTCGTAAAAAGGTTCAATCCTATAATTAATGAGAGTGCTTTAAAGTCGTTCTTTAGAATCGTTCAAATAATAATTGTTCTATAAGCTTTAATTGCTTTTACTATTTTGTTTGAATCTTATGAAAGGGGTGGCAAGAGAGGGCATTTTCGATGTTTTTTTGCCCGTCCAAGATTGTGGTCGAAAGACATTAAAAGTATGTTCGGCATCTATTGCACGAAATCTACATGTCGTTCCAAACTCCGTCAAGAACTATTTTGAACTGTTTTAAAGGATAATAGCCCTGTATCTCTTAAATACGAGACTGCAGCCGAAGGAAAAATAAATATTCTGAGTTGCTACCGTAGCTTTTTGTCATTGAAAAAACATATAGTAAAAGAGGTGCCAACAGTTAGATTTTTACATTTGACACACCTATCCCGTATGCCAGCGATACTTGCGATAGAGCCACCATCTTGGTCAATTTAAATTACATCGATAATAAAGCTGCCTTTGCCGTGAAGCTATTGGAAAATGTTCGTTACCTGAATGTAGAAGGTCATCTAATCAAAAAATTTCTATGATAGACAAATATTGAACAGGTACTAACAACTTTTTATTAGAACATATATACAATCAAGGTTACGCGTCAGCTAGCATGGCAGAAACGCGATCTACAACAAATATGTTTGAATTGATTGGAATTATACATACAAAACCTCCCCTAGACAGTCTCCAACATTTTAACCATTTCCAATCGAGGTGCAACAGCTTGGAGAACTTCTTTGATTTTTTGTACGACATCACATCAGTAATTATTATCAATCCATCGCTTATGAAGAATCGATTTATTTAGGAGCCCCTAAATGTTGCAAATATAGTGTCAAAAAAAGCAAAAAATGGATAGAGATTAATTTTTGTTGGAATGAGTTAATCACATAACTCCCTATTTCCTCCAGCTCGCCACAAAAGACAATTAGCTTCCTGATTATATCGATGTACATTGTTACTAAGTACAGGTTCATTGAGCTACAAGGTGCCAGCTACAAAAACAATCGATGAGAATAACGCATTAGTTACTTTTAGTGTATTTAAATATCCTGTGTAGTACTGCCGAATAATAAGCGGCACATTATAAGTTTTTAAGCTAGCTGTTCTGATCGTGTCTAGAGGAAGTGGATCTTTATTCCCTAATGTAGAACACCTACATCGATCCCCGACGCCTGAACCTATTTCCTTTCGACTGCTAATCAAACTAGAGCATTCGGATCGTCCTGAGTGAAGAAATTATACAAGCGGTTGGCAGTCTCAGGTCCAATCCTGAATGTCCTCTGAAGCGGCGGCTCTCCGACAGTCGCTGTGATACCCTCGAAAACTTCAACAGCTGGCCTTCAAATAAATATGCTGAGAACATTAGTGCATGTTTCTTGCCAGTAATACTATTTAATCGTATCGTATCTGGTGTTCAAACTTTTTGCAGGAAGTCTACATACTTCCATAGATGCTCTTCTTAAATTGAAGTAGCGCAACGATTATAGAACTACACTATATCGTTCTATTTGTCTTGTCTCCCCGCATTTGTACATCCTCTATTATGGCTGATGCAAGTTTAAAGAGGCTATTTAGGGCAATAACTTTTTGTAATGGACACATACAGGCCCAGAGGTTCGAAAACTTGATAGCAGTTGTTTTCAACAACCACGCTAAAGAAAGCGGAGCCCTAGTTACTTGTTAAGTGCCCTACTGATTCGCATAGTAGCCAATGGCTGGACATTTTCAAAGTAAGCTTCTTTACTGAGCATAATAGAAAAACGCCTACCTCCGTAGTAGCTCATGCCGTAGCGCACGGGGCGATGGGAAGCGTGTTGCAATTGCCCGAGCAAGCTGAAACGAAGCGTGATTGAAGAACATTTCAAGCATGCCAGGCCATACTTCGGCTGGGTTGGAAGCCGTACGCCGATTCTCCTCGAATCCTAGTACTTCGTCCCGCAGGCGACTGTTGAACTTTTTAGCTGTCGCCTTAGTCATGCACGTTAAAAGATGGTAAAGTTCTTGGACACTGTGCACTGGATGCACGTTAAACAGGCTATCTAGCTATGATATGTAACATATAAATTAAAATGACACATATATTCAATTCGTTAGTTATGTCGAACTATTTTTTATATGTCTACCCACAAGACAATTTCCTAAGGTGTTCTTTAATAAAATTAGAAAATAAACTATCTTCTTTATGGATGACGCGAGTAGCATCCTAAAAACGAATTTTCTATTTATACGCTTATACTAACGATTATAAGATCCAAAAAGGAATAAAGTAATATATTCTTCTTATATCGAAAGGGTAAAATAATTATATATTCACCAAATAAACAATATATACCTGAGCTAAAATGATTCGACGGTCCATTTCTGCGGATATTTTTTCTTTGCCTTCCAGCATAATAACTATAGTAACAAACTTTCGGCCATACTTCTCTGGCCAACTGGCAATTTCGTCTTCGAGTCTACGAATACGGACAGCAAACTCTTCGAGTCGATAGATTAACACAACTTGATCTTCGACGAATTCAATCGAGGTCGACTTCCAGCAGATAAGCTCAGGGAACGTATCTTCGATGGTGATTTCACACAAGTTAGAGACATCTATCATGATCTTCAGCGGAGCAAACCAAGGCTGATCAGTCAGCGATCGCGAAAATACGATACTCAGATCGGGGAAGCCCATGGCGTTTTTCTCTTCGGTATTTCTTTGGGACATTGCAACGCTCCTTTTTCGAGTGATCCGAAAATCCCGTGTGTTGCAAATCTAGAGTCTTCAACGAAACTGAATATCACTTAGTTTTTTTTGAAACAATTCGGAAAATCTCCTAGGATAGTCGTAAGCTTAGGGAGTGTAAGGTATAAAAAAAGAGGAGAAAATTTCAATGAAATCGTATAACAAAGGATTTTAAAAAATTATATATGAATATACTAGTTTAATGATTAACGTATCCGAAATATATTTTTCAAATAAATGACTGTACATAAATAAATAGTTGCATAAAATATAACGAATTGTGCACTGTATTGCTATGGAAATAGTAAAAGTGCTTCTTACGAGCTCTTTGCGTTTAAAAATTTATTTAATTCCGGCAAAATCATGCCTCCTGATCTATAAGGCGGTTAATCCTGGTGCACCTTAATGAATCTAGCTATTATAACCTTAGCCGCAACCGTGCCGCCTGCTTCGTTTCTAAAGAATATATTTATTGTTCAATCCTTCGTTTTCCATTAACTAATAAATCACAGTAGTTTTTCTTCTTTTGCGTACACTTAGGAATAAAAAATGCTTACTATGTTAAAAACTGATAAAATGGATTTAATTATTTCTGTGCTAATTATAAATACGTCAGATGTTTGATAGTCACAAAGGACACAGTTGGAAATAATCCATTACAGCGCTACATAGAAAATGCTTACAAAAGCTCAAACATGTTTACTTTTATCGCAGAAAACTGGGGCTTACCGATTCATTAGTTATCAGTGATTTTACTAGCGTCCAGGACGCAACTGCATGGCAATTCACTTAATAAGCAAATTATTTTGATAGTTCAGTTGATATATAAAGCTATCATGATTAAATAAGTTCCTTATTTTGTTCCTATTTTTTTTTTGTTATTTCAGTCAAATCAACCGTTTCCTTATATTTTTGTGAAATATGTTTGAAATTGAAGTTAAAATGGCTTCTCTTTTTGTTATCATGCATAGTAAATTATAACCTTACTCACTGATATTATATGTGGCTTTGCCCTTGCTTCACGCAGACTATAACACTCCCGACATGCCAGTCTACGATCGACCAGATTCAATACTTCGCTATACAATGTGCAGCTACGCTTTTAATTTTCCTCGAGCATAATTATAACTCACACACGAATTGAGCGAAAACTGAGCGCCACAGCTGTTTGTACCCTTCGATGGGGCTCTTGAAGAGAGGTGAAGCGAATTTCATGGTTCCAATGTAATGTCATTGGCATATTGGTAAAAAGGTAAGTTAGCAATGTGGTTAACTCGGTCGACTAGATGAAACAAAGTTCAATAGATATGAACAACTGAGCTTCAGAGCTCAAACTAAGCCTAACTCGTATTCCCGATAAACTCTGGCGGCTATTGAAATTGTCAGTAACGAGAGCCCGCCAATACTTTCCCCGCCGTGTTCGCCGCCAACCCTCTCCCAAACAAGATCACCGTCCAATGATCGGCGGTTAGCGCGCGCAACCAGCCACGATGCATTAACGAACACAGGCATTGCAACATTCTACACTAACTATTATTAGGAATTAAAGCACAATAACTTTCGATTAGTGCTAAGTAAGAATACGGGCTCAAGGACTTCTCTGAATTCCTGCTCTCTGAGTTCGTTGTGTAGAAATCGAAATCTACCTTTTTTTTTTTCTTTTTGTTTTTAAAAGAACGTAACAAGTAAAACCTCCATACAATGATAATAATATATTATGTGTTTTTGAATAATTTTGAAAACAGTTTCTTTAATCATCATTCGTAAACTGAAGATCGGCGATAACAAAAACGGCAACGTTTGTATCTTTTCAGTTGACAAGATAGATAACCTCGGAGATAACGCACGATACAATAAAAGGCGCTTGTTAGGAAAGATTCGTTCGAGTTTCGCCTAAACGGCGAACAATATATCGGTAAATTCTATGAACCCCCAAACCCAGAAGTAAATCTTTCCCCTTCTTCAGTTACGTCATTGTTTTTTTTTATTTTGAGAAGTACAATAAACACAAGATTTCTACTGATTTTTTTTTTATTACTAGATCTGTTTTACTTGGTCGCCTAACACTACTGGCATGTATTTACAATTGATCCCTTGCTTGATTTGTGATTGTTGTAAGCGTTCCATGCGTCGCATATAGAAAGAACAGAAGTTCAGGGTGTGATCACACCGAGAAGACTGGCAAGTTATGAAGCTTGTCTTCACTAACTCAAGCTAGCATATTTCTTAACTAGTCGAAATAAAAGCATAATCTTCCGGTCAAGTCGAAACGGCTCAGCAACTGTTGTAATATCGCCAAAATAGGATTTTGGTTGAAAATAAGATCTAAGCTTGGTTGATGATATCATAACGAATTAAATTTCCGAATCGAATAACTGGTTTTGAATGATACCGCTTAGACTACTTGATCGACGACAGCTTGATCGCCAGGCGACGAAATGCTGCCACTAGAAAAGGCTTCAAAGGACGTATCATGTAAGTCAATATAGCAAACGTGCAGGGTCATTCCGTTTCAGCTTGTGAAAGGCGCAATAGTAGAAGCAGAGAAAAGAAGAAACAGGTTCTGCTCCCAGAGGCGGCACTGGCAGGCTCAATGTGAGTAAGCCAATGGCTTATGCCATGAAAATATTCGATCTGAAAAACTATCAGGTCAAAACGAAATTTTCTGTTATTTTCATTTTCTCTCAGACACACGGACACACTCTCTAGTAAATAAGTAAAGTATAATAAAAGTACTCTAGGCTAACGGCTTTCATTTTTCTGTAATATTCAAGAATGCCGAAAGTGGCGCTACACTAAAGTCATCGAGGACAGAAACCTCAGGTAAGTGCACGGAAATATGAAAGCCGTCGTCAGCTAGCGTCAACTACACAAACTGACTTAGCATCCAGGAATTAACAAATGGAAAACTCAAGTGATTTTGCTAAGAAAAATATCACTGTAGGAATAAATGTTGTTTGCTGTTGTTACTGCCTATGAGACAATACTTTGTAACTTGTCTTTATTTACTGCGGTGATATATATAGTGTTTCACTGGTGATCCATATGATGCTTGCAAGTAATCGGAGCAGAAATATAACGGGCTGATGGTTTCTTTTTGCCTGTCTTCAGTGCGCAATAGGTGTCGATGCCACGACGGTATGGCCGTCAAGCACAATTCTGCACCAAAGATAAGGCACCTCGATTTTGTGATTGACCCCCTTAGCCCGCCTGAACGCTTCGCGTCACGCTTTTTTGGAGTCGACAGGTTGCGCAACCGCGGAGACGTTAGAACGGCGTTGGCGTTCCTCTTCGGCAAGGTTCCTGCAAGTTACGCAAATTGAATACGATAAGGAACTCGAACGGATGAACTATTATCTACTTGTTTTATGTGTCTCTTATTTTTCGGCACCGAAATTTAATTTTTGCTTTTTTACAATAGCGCTTACTCTACGAATGGCGGAGCAATCGTTGAAACCTGTGTGCCGTGGGCAGGTATTAACTTTTTTAAAAGTAAGAGACTTTCAAGCTTTTAAAGGCAGTGTATAGTTAATAAGATGGCAATTGTTTTAGGACATTTAAGCGAAGAAAGAAAATGCTAGGCGATCTTAATAAGTTAGCTTTCTAACTCAGGTAGAGATGAATGACGATCATTCAAAGCTTAAACAGCTGAAAGCGGTCGTCAACTAGAAGCAGCATTCGTTGATAGAAGATCCGTACTTGTAGTCTTTAAACTCCTTGAAGTCCACCGAGCGGCGTCGATCGAAACGAAATCCATCAAGTTCTTCGGGAAGATCCTCAGAGCGGCTTGCACGTCTCTCAAGTAACAGGCGGCGAATCTAAAATAATTAACGAACTTGAATATGGCTAATCACATTGTGAACAATGTCCGTGGTCGCGACTGGTATACGTGCTAAGCGTCAATAATATTCGCCGCATTACGTAACCTAGGTACGCTAAGCACATGTGATAGAAAATCTTCCAGAAAAATGGGCAACGAAAAGCTAGCAAGATAAACTTCTAGAGAATCTTATCTTGTAAAACATGCTATATGCTTCTTCCACGACCGAGATCTTCAAAAGTTAAGACTTTTAAAAAGCTGTCGTGTAGATGTAATTTTTAGAGAAGAGATTAGGACTAAGGTATTTTTTTTCCAAATTTTCCAAATTTGGAAACTGCCAGCAACAACTTGCAAATACTATATTTAGGCTACTTATCCTGCCCTAGACAAGATTAACTATTGACGTTTGCTTTTATAAAGCAAACTCTCAAAGGCTTCAAAATGTTCGCTTTAACTTCTATCCTCTTTCTCCTATGGACGCAGGGGCTTTTGTTCTGGCAGTATTATCTGCGTTAGGTTTCTGATTTGGGCTTGCTTAATGCCTACCTTCTTTTCGGGTAGTTTAAAAGAATAATAAAAATTGTCGTTTCTGAAATTATACAAAGCTATCACTAATAACATATTCTGTTTCTTGAACGATTCACTTGTACTCTAAAATAAGACACACACAAACAGCATTCCCTATATATTAGCAGTTTTTGTACAAGAACTAGTGCCAAACATGATTATTTTTACCTACGAGTCTTGTTGATGACTTAGGTGATGGCAAAGGATCGATCACTTCGATTGATTAGAGGCTTCTTTAGAAATATTTTCCTTCTTTTAGTACTATCATTCACTATCAGTACCGGAATTCTTAGAGCTAGTATATTAAATGTATATGATTAGTGAGTAAATCCGAAACTAACGAAAGCGTAAACGTTTTTCTTGAAAAAATCGATTATAGATAGTGTACTGCATAATAGTTAACAGGAATGCTTAATTGACTACAATTGACTACATAAACGCTTTAAAAGATGTGGGAACTCGATTTTCTCGAAGTAAGTTTACATGCTGTTAAATATAGCGATCGTTGGCCTCCATTTCCGTTTTAAAAAGAAAACTATCTTGAAATTGTATTGAACTCACGGCGGGCTCAAGCGGTACGTCGACGTGCGTTTCATAGTCATCAGC